AAAATAGTACAGATTATGTATATTGAATGAATAATTATTTCGACAATAGACAAGGAGTAAACGCAGGTAAAAAGGTTTGATTTATGATTTAATAATTGAAATATAAGATAATACACGAAAGACAGAATACTTCCGCATCAAATGTTCCACCACGAAATAACATTTGTACCCTCTATTAACTTACCCACCACACCAATCCAGTCCGACAGATACTGATGCATCCCTGTCCAGTACTCATTTTCCGGAAGGCCCCCGGACAACAGCTGTTGTTTCACTTCCTCTTCGCTAGCCATGGATCCATTTCTTTTCTGGCATTCTGTCCATCCCTCACTCCAAGACATTGTTAGATTTAGAATGATAGTTGTCGTTTCATCATCCTGGCATATACCTGCAAAATAGTTATATAGTTAACGTTTTATTTATGGGTCAAAATTTACTGTGAAACCTGTCTACTCTGACATGCACTAGGACACTACTATTTCTTTTATTTATTTATTTGATTGTTTGTTTGTTTGTCAGAATAGACAGGGTGTTAGATTCAACAGTGAGAAGAACATGGAAAATGGTAAAGTAGAAATGAAAATAAAGGTTGGAAAACGATTTCACATGTGTTGAATTAGCTTCTTTTTTTTTATTTCCTTTATATTATGAATCAATTATGACCCAAAAAGTTTACTCAATCTTGTGATAATCTTATGAATGTTTGTGAACATTACTAGTCAATATAGTCTTTTTTTCAATGATGAAGATAACAAACAGTGATCGTGCTCAAAAGTCTATTTAAATAATACAAATTTTGAGGAGAGCCAACACGGACCTCTAAAAATAGAGGTAGAATCGGGTGCCATGGAGGAGTAAACTTTCCCTGTCGACTGCTCACACCTGACGTGTTCCCCTAGTCATGATCGGGGAAACGGAAAAATCCGTAGACAATTCAGTGTGAAAAAAATGGTCTAACAATATGCATGAAAGACATCAGTGAATATTCGACTCAACAATAGTATTTGCTAACAAGATCCTTGGATCGATGATAGAATTTGCGAAATGTTGGCTTTAAACAGATTGTTGATATCCTTGTATCATCAACTTATTGAATTTGTTAATAGCTTTCTCGCTTGAGAAATCGTTTGTAGGTAGAACATGCTATTGCGTATCGAATCAACTGGGAGACATAAACTTCATATGCAGATGATTATGGCATATTGCTACATAAGTCAGGGAAGTTGACGATAGAAAAGTTCATGTCATTGGGTTTTTCATAGAGTTTAGTTGTTAATTTGTCATCTTCCTCTAGTAAAATATCCAAATATGAGCAGATGTGTCAGACTCTGAAGTGTCTTTTATTTAGATTTCAATAGGATATATATTAAATCAGCGTAGGAATGAAAATGAATATTGTTGATTGATGAAACTTTCGTCGTCTATATATCTTATCATTATTTAAAACAACCTTGTTAATATTGAATTGAAGGTCACAACAAGAGACTTCTTCTTTTCATGTAGATCTAGAAGTTTTTGAATGATAAAATTGGCAAAGATACTTAAATAAATTACAAAATAAAGTAAAAAAAAAATTTAAAAAATCACGACTGTACAATTTAATTGAAGTGAATTGCAATTATATGCCTTCAGGATTCCTTATACGAGTATCTCCTTGGAGAACCCCCTTAGGTGCAGAAGCAGGTCATCATTACCTATTAAAATAACTCTGTGATCCTATACAAAATCTCCGGGGTATGAATATATTCTTACTAATTAACTACTGTCAACTTCATAAAACCATTGTCATTACGAAACTTTACTTTGGAACGTTTTTGGTTAACTGTAGATATGGTTTATACTTTAAACAAATAAACAAACTTCGAAACTTCGCTTTGAAGTGTGGTTTTAGAGCAAAGGTGCAATTAAATACATGTCTTAAATCTCATATATCAATGAGGGCAATTTGATTTTAGTAATAATATTTGAATACAATGAATTTAATTGTTGAAGAATTTGATTCGCTCTAAGAAACTATAGTTTACCATTTGGTCTAACTTAAGTACAAAACAATAGTACAAGTATGTCATTGTTCCCTTTAGTTCATTTTTGAACAGCATTTTCCTCTCCGCTGTAATCTATTGAGTTTAAGAAACAGTGTATTCCGGGTCGACTTCTAGTAACTTTCACGGCAGAGGAAGGCATAATTTCGAATGTTGCAGGATGTGGAGTTCGTCCATGGCCATATTCATAATTTTATTGCAATGACGAAACTGTAGTGTCATTTAACACTAAGTTTTTTTTTCATATTGATGCATTAAGAATGACATATTTCTGTTGTTCTTGTTTGACCTATACAAACAAATGTTCTTTCTTTTTGCCATGTTTGTTAACATATAGGTATATATTATGTATTCACTGTATCTAAATGATAAATGTTACCTCTATTCCAAAAATCTTAAATGGTTCCAGACATGCTACTCGACAAATGTTCATCTGAATCTGTATAAAGTTGCTTTTAAATATTAACCTAGCTGGATATTTATTTAATATATGCACCTATGTAAAGTCTATTATGTAAATGTTAACACCTAGGGCTTAAGTTGAAAACAATTATGAAAGTTCCTTCTTCAGCTTATTACAAGCAAGTTGAGACAAAAATTGACAGATAATCAAGAAAATACTTAAAATGAGAGAGAGAGAGAGAAGTGAGATAGTTACCTAACTCGTATATGCACAAACTCATCCATAATAACACAATATTTCTGTTCATGATGACCGATCGGTGACCACTAAATATAACAGTATACAATACACAAACAGATTGATTTCTAGATCAGGAAGACAAGGATTACGGAAGGCGACAATTATGTCTCAGTTGGTACTCGGCCAACTTGTTTTGTTTTGCCAGAGCTGGTCATCCTTGAAGTGGCCACTAGTAAGGGAACAACAAAGTGCAGCCACTCGTGAATAACACTAATGTATATCTCGAATATTTATTTTCTTCTTTACAATAAAGATTCAATTAGTTTTGTACCATTCCGTACCACGATCTTGTTTTGTTTGCTCGGTCATCTGAGAAATTTAACACATCGACGGACCAGGAAGTTGTAATCAATTAACCAGCTTCTATCACTCGAGAGATAACTTTCTTGGCCACATACATTGTTTTTACATACATTGAATTGATTGATTCTTTGTTTCATTTGAGATTAAATTCCTAGAAAGGTACAACTGTAACCCCCCCCCCCTTTTCAGAAGTGAAAACTCTTTTAAAAGCTAATGTGTGTTTGTGTCTGTTCTTTAAATTGAGAATTATTCTAGAAAGCCATTTTCGTCTGTAAATATTATACTCTTAACAAGTAAGAAATTTGATGTTGTTGACATTTTGTGATAGTTTTTTTAACTTTTACCTTATCATACAAACAAATCTAAAATTACATGTAGGTCCCCTAGCTGGCTGTACATTCCACTTTTTCACATGTGTTATTAACTAAAAAATAAACTATAAGAAATTTATGTAATGAGTACACGATAATTATAATTGTCGTGAACTCATTATATAAATTTCATATAATTCGTTACTCAGTCAGCGACACATGTTACACACTTTTGCCCATGCTATATAACCTTTCCATCTCATAATAATATTATATATTAATCAAATTCTGAAGCAACTCACCCCCTCCCCCCTAATTCCCCCTTAATGATATTGTTGGTATAAATAATGTATGTATATAGTATATACTGATTACTGAGAAAAACAAATCTACTTTATGGATGTGCCCCTCAATAATTACGTCTGATGCCCCCTGTTTTTGCTTGTCAAGGAATGTTTGCTCGGTAGAACCCCCTCGATTGAAAATGACCCCCCCCCCCCAATTGAAATTGCTTCCCACCGGCCTGTGCCAAATGATTGTAAAAAGTCATAAAAAAGTATAAGGGAATATGAATCCATTTTATGATAAAAGAATACATTCCATATTCTATTCATTCTTCAATCTCCGGAACGGGATGGGGGTGTCAATTTTTTTTTTTTTATTTATTTATTTATTTTATTTTTTGAGAGAGAGAGAGAGAGAGAACCCAAAAAAAATCAGAAAGGGGGGGGGGCTTCTCATGAACAGACCATTCATAGCATATACATATATAATTTTAAAAAATCCTTTTCTTCCTAACTAGGGAATTTTTTCACAAAAAATAAATTTTCCATGTTCATGATATGTTAACTTTCACTTTAAAATCACCATGGATAATCATGAAAACAAACAAACGAATAAATATAGTCAGAGGCATCTCATTGAAAATTTCTTTATTTCATTTGAAGGACCTTAGATAAATGGTGTTGCATTTAAATTATTAACTTTAGGACAATTACAAATTTTACTGAGAAACGTGAAATTCTTATTTTGTCGAAATAATTGAAACTTTTAAATAATTATTTGGGAACATACTCTTTTCCTTTAGTTTGATCCAACAACCCGCCACTCTGATGTTCACGATGTCTAGAAAGAGGGGGGAGGGGGTATATACTGACGATCTGTATACAGTGTATATACAGAATGAATGTATTGTATTCATGTGTATATTGTGGTCAAAGCTTGGGGTTAATTATTTTTAAAATCATCCTTTTTATGTACATGTATATCATAGCAGGGCGTAGCATCGTTTTTTTTTTTGGGGGGGGGGGGGCATCCAGAGAAATCAAATTTCAACTTACCTGGAAAAAAAATTGACAAGCAAAAGATAAAGGGGGGATTCCTCAAACTCGATCGGTCTTTCATTGATCATTTCTTCATCACTTATTTGTTAAAAAAAAAACAAAAGAAAACAAAACAAAACAAAACAAAAACAAAAACAAAAAAACAAAAAAAAAAATCATATTTCAACTGTTATGTACCAATAAAAACAATTATATAAACTGAAAAAATTCAATCTACAATCGACTTCATGGTATGAGATAACAAGTAATGAACCCCTGTTTCTACGAACGAGTTAACATTGTCACAAAAAGGGGCAGATCCGAAAAATGGCTGTCAATATGAAGTTTCTATGTATGACGTCCGTGCTATTTGGCGTTTTAGAGCAAATATATGTCATGGCAGATACTAAACCTGCTGAATTAGACCCAGCCATCGAAAAGGAAGAAGAGAGACAGGTTATAAAGACGCATAAAATCGACAGCTCCACCATTTTGATGTTGCTCGGCCTCCTCCTTCTCACTATTCTCACAATCTGGTTCTTCAAATTCCGTCGATTTCGATTCGTGCATGAGTCGGGGTTGTCAATGATATACGGTAAAAAAAATCTGTGTGTACAAGATTTATTTGATGTCTGTTATTTTATTTTTATATGTTCTAAACAGTCATTTTACAAAATGTTTTGCGCATTGTCATGTGATGTTTGCAGGAAATGTTGCGAAATTTCTCTTTTTTTGGTGCCAATGTAGTGGAACTTTTCTGAAAAGTTGTTATCATTTTAGTTGTTCATTATGACAACTGATATTTTGCAGAATTCAAATACCATGTTGATAAAAGATTCAATGCACATGTTTGAAATTAAGAACACATAAACATTGCACCCTGTAATGGATAATATTGAAGTGTCATGCACCCTTTCAATTAGGATTTTCAAATTGAAGAAATGGCAAAATGGGGAAATGGACATTTTGACCTTAATTTGAGGAAAAAAGTACCAATTTTCAATTGGACTGGGTTCTTTTACCAGATCTGCATGCAAGGAATATATTAAATACATGGTTACTGTCTTGATATATAAGCGATATTTGGGCAAGGGTAAGAAAACGTGATAGAGAGCGAGGCTTGCTGAGCCCTCTGTCACGTTTTCGACCCGAGCCCAAATATCGCTTATATTTCAAGACAGTATCGATGTATTTTGTTTATCCTGCAACATATTTTTACATGACCTTCAAAACGAGCTATTTTCAATTGATTTAGGTACATCTCTGCAGTTGAATCTAAGACGCCATGGGGTAAACATTGCAATATTCATGACGTCACAATGCTTTTAGAATGTCGGAATACATGCACGAGGCTTTATTAGGGCATTGACCGAATAAAGCTTTGGTTTATTAGGTTACCTTTATTAGGTCAATGCAAGGGGTAGTTGCAGGATAAATTTTAATATTAAGCCCTGTTATGTATGACAGTGTAGCTGTCCCACAGTACGTCCATTTGTAAACTCTTCTTTATTTCAATTTCATTTTCATTAGCACTGATTTAATTAAATTTTTTTTCTTCTTGAAAGGTATGATTGTTGGAGTAATAATTAGATATGCCAATCCTGATCAAGAAACGACACCCCCACATGTGAAGATCATCAACAGTGGGAATGTATCCTACACAGCTAACAAGGCCCCAGAGTCAGTGCTCCTGGATCTGGAGGACAGGAACAAAAGTATTACTGTACAATACAACATCTGGGGAGAAGTTAGCGAACAGGAAACAAAAATGTCACAACTCATAATGGCCGTAAGTGTAGAAAATCTTCATAACCCTTAGTTAATAACTAAAGACATCTTGTGTTAAGTAATGTTATATTATAATAATAATCATTCTTGTTACAGAGTATTGACCTATTTATTTATCCTGTTTGTACATTCCTATTTTTTATTATAATTAACCCTTTCACGATAACTGCGGTACTAATCTTTTGCAGGGCAAAATAACAATATTTGGCGCTGTTTTTGATGACAGATAATTAAATGACGCATATTAAACAATTACTTTTACGTCATATTTCACTAAAATATATCATTTTGCCCTGCAAAAGAGCAGTACCGCAGTTATCGTGAAACAGTCTATGACTATGAATGGTGTGAATTTACTTATTTTCTTTTTTACAAGGTCAACCTGTTGAATGTCAAGGTCACAGGCATACTATGTAAATTGTGTAAAATGCTATATAAAATGTAAATTCTATACATTTATGTAATAAATGTGAGATAAGGCCATAAAAAGTTAATTAATAGTTTCTCAGGCCAAAAATTTCAAAATTCAATGTTGCAGGCAGGTTCTTCTTTTCTTTTTTTTTAAAGCAGGTGTTATACCTTTTTTCATGTCAATCATTCAACAAAATGATGATATCAACTGATTCTTACTTTTTTGTTCTCTTACATTAATTAAAATATGTATTCAACTTTAAATAATGTTATTCCAAACATCGTCTATCTATGAGGATTTATGAAAAGGGGAATAACTCAATTTTCGTTTTCAACTTGGAAAAATAGAAAATTGAGTTATTTCCCTTCTCAATATGTCAAAAAAAATTTATCAATGCGGCAGTGTTTGACCTGTTGCGGTGTTGCCTGAGAAACTATTGATTATTTTTTTTTTTGGTCTAAACAATGAAACCTTATTCAAAATTGGAGCATAGCCATATTACTTGACAGATGATAATAGACCTAAACTTTTATGAAACCTGTAGATGACTTATAATTTACAGGCCTTTCAAAAGCTGCCAGTACCTGGTACTTTTACTTGGCTGAAATCATAATTGTACTGGCCAAAATATTTGATGGAGAAAAATTTGACAACATATTTAATTAAAATCGCTTGTACAAGGTACCTCCTATTTTTGTAAAAGTACTGCCTGTTTCTAATCTTTTTGAAAGCCCTGCACTTATATGTTCTTTAAATAGATATCAAGAATTTGAGTTTTAAAGAAAAAAATTGACATTCCAGTGATTTCCTTTTTAGCCGAGTTATTATTGTGGTAATTTTATAAATGCAATGGTATCGTTGATTGAATTATATCAAAGCTAACGTATTTTCATAGATTATTTGATTCTGAAACCATTTAATAATTTTAAACATAAATCATACTATTTTTTTCAATTTCACATCTATAATCATCACATATTTTATTAAAATCACTATTTTGTTTAAGCATCAGCTATGATGGCTATATGTTATGATGCAAAATTGCAATGGTACATTCACACTCATTTGAGCAGAATGGTCTCAAGGCTTCTCATAATGGGTTGTCTGAACAGATTTTAGATTGTTCAAAGAAAATTTGACCCTCTCAAACTGTTGCAACATTTTCTGGAATATAGATATATACTAATACTCAACAAAAAGCTTTATCAGACCTCAGATACATTCAACATGCACTAAAGATTACCCCAAACTACTCAAATTTATCTTTGAAGCAGATCTTAAAATTATTTTCAAGTCATCAAGATGAAATCAAGGGAGGAAATAACTAGGCAGCAAGTGCGAGTCCTTAAGGCTCTTTAAGATGTTATTATAAGAAAACGTTACTATGAAATCATTGATTTTTTTTTTTCAGGTGACTTTTGATCCAGAATTATTTTTCAATGTCCTGCTGCCCTTTATTATATTTGAAGCAGGTTACAGTATGAAAAGGGTAAGATGTTATATAAAATTTTATGTTCATATGTTTACATAATTTTGAGATTTCTAGGGAAAAACTGAAGAAAATGAGATGTGTTTGTGAAACACTCAGGCTCCGATATGGCAGCTCACGGTCAAGGTTAAAGTGTCACAAATGCAAGTCAAACTCCAAGGTCAAGGTCAAGAGATCAAAAATTGTTGGTACCCAAAGAAAGGTCTTGTCATATGAGAAAGGTCTTGTCACCAGGAATACACCTTTGAAATATGAAAGCTCTAACTCCAACCGTTCTTGCCAAGGTTAAAGTTTTTCAAAAGTAGGTCAAACTCCAAGGTCAAGGACAAAAGTCAAAACTGTTGATACCCCATCGAAGGTCATGTCACAAGTAATACACTTGTGAAGTATGAAAGCCTTAGCACTAATTGTTCAATATTTATGGCCAGGATTAAAGTTTTTCAAAAGTAGGGTCAAACTCCAAGGTCAAGAACAAAATGTCAAAACTTGATATCTAAGGGAAGATCTTGTCACAAGGAATACACCTGTGAAATATGAAAGTCCTTGCACCAACAGTTCAAAAGTTATGGCCAAGCTTAAAGTTTTTCAAGAGTAGGTCACACTCCAGGGTAGGTCAAAGAGTCAAAATTGTAGAAACCCAAGGGAAGGTCTTGTCACATGGAATTACCTGTGAAATTTGAAAGCCCTAGTTTCAGCCATTAAAAACTTATGGCCAAGATTAAAATTTTTTAGATGTGGGTCAAGTTCCAAGGTCAAAAAGTTAAAAATATTTGTACCTAAGGAAAGACCTCATCACAAGAAATATACATGTGAAGTGTGAAAGCCTTAGCACCAACCATTCAAAAGTTGTGGCCAGGGTTAAAGTCTGGTAAAATTTTGCAAAAGTGGGTCAAAATCCAAGGTCAAGGTCAAGAGGTCAACTGTGTTGGTACCCCTAAAAAAAGTCTTATCACAAGGAATACACGTGTGAAACATGAAAACCAGGGCTCCATCCAATCAAAAGTTATGGGCAAGTTTAAAGTTTTTGAGAACAAGCAGACAGACTGAGCAAAAACTTTATGCCCCCAAATCTTGGATTATTGGGGCATAAGAAAAAACATACCAACAGACTAAACAAAAAGAAACAACAATTAAAACCAAAGTATTTTTTCCCTCCATGTTCTACCAAAAAGTGATACAGTAATTGGTAAACTCTTTTTACTTCAGAAAAAAATCATTCACCAATTTAGGTTGAGAGTGGGTGGGGGTATCTAGGAAATAGTGAATGCATTTTTTATGTCTCTCTAGCTCATATACATGTATTTTATTAACAGTTCATGTCTCATTCATGTTTGAAGTTATTTTGAAAAAGGACTTATATTGTTATGTTATACAAGATTCTGAGTTAACAAATCAAATGTTCCATCATTTTGTAACTCTTTTCTTTTGCAGAGACATTTTTTCAGAAATTTAGGTTCTATAATGGCATTTGCATTCATTGGTACAACCATTTCCTGTCTAGTGGTAGGGTAAGTATTTCAGTGATAATGCTGGTGTAATTACTAGTATGCTGGTATCCTAACAAAGTACTTACGACATACTTGACATAGCCTACTTGACATTAATTCCAATTATTTATTTGCCATTATTAATAATTCCAAACCAGTCTTGTTAGTTTTTATAAATCTTTCCTCAAGTCCCACACATGAATGTTTAAAGATAAATGTTTGATAGTATTTTTTATGTCAATTCAAAATGTTCTGCTTTTAGAGGAATTATGTATAGAGTTACCCGTCTTATGATCTTTGACAATGTATTGAATGTGATATAGTTATTTTTCTACTTTTAGAGGAATTATGTAAGGAGTTACCCGCCTTATGATCTTTGACAATGTATTGAATGTGATACAGTTATTTTTCTACTTTTAGAGGAATTATGTACGGAGTTACCCGCCTAATGCAGCTGACTTCCTTCACACTAAATGACTGTTTCTTTTTTGGAGCTATAATCTCGGCCACTGATCCAGGTAACAGATATAACATTCTGTAACATCAGAAAGCATTTAATTGTTAAGGAGGGATGGGTGGTCAGGACCATTTTAAGCATTGTTAAGGAGGACTGGGTGGTCATTTTAAGACTATTTAAACCTCCTGGAAAAAAGAGCTCTGCATGAAAATATTGGAAATTGCATTAGATATAGCTTGCATGACTAGAAAAATCTTATTTAACATTTTTAAGTGGATCTGTTGGGTGTTAACCACTTTACTTCATTAAATAACCATCACTGTATTAAAATGCAGCAATTAAGGCTGGCAGGAAAACTGGTTTTCTCAGTTTTTAAGCCTCCAAGTATAAGCACTTTAATTTCTTTTACAACCAAAAAAAAAAAAAACAACCTGTCATAGCCTGTTTCATCTCTACTTTTATAATTGGTTAGTAATGAAGTTGCAATAGCAGTTATATTTATGTATGGAGTAATTATTACTCTTTCCAAACATCAATTAAATATAAAAATTTACTGTATCATCAACTATCTTACGTTAAGGTTGAAGACAATATTTTATTATTTTTAAAAATCATTAGCTATTCCTGAGCAAAATTAAAGGCATTGTTTTGTTTCAGTGACTGTGCTGGCAATCTTTAGTGATCTGAAAGCTGATGTAGATCTGTTCGCTTTCATTTTTGGTGAAAGTGTGTTAAATGATGCTGTTGCCATAGTTCTTTCAGGGTAAGTGAAATTCTGATGGATTTTAATTTTTTTTTAACATTGAGAAACTGAGTTAGAGGAATTTAATTGAAAAAAAAAAACAAAAACAAAATTGATGCGGGATACATTTTTAATGAAAAATAGAAGTAATTTTTAACCCAAAATTCTGAGTTACAAGCAATATTTACATATATACATATCAGAATCACACAGTATGTGTATGGTTAAGTAATAATGGCTGCAATGCAGTCTATGCATTCATTGAATATTCTGTGAAGATACACGAAATGGTTAAAATTTGTTTATTTTTTCTTTTCCTGCAGGGCAGTAGACAATTACGGCTCATCAGTTTCTAAATCGGGAGAATCCCAGGGATTTAGTGCCCATGCATTCTTTTCTTCACTTGGGAACTTTGTAGGGATATTTGCTGGAGCTTTTACCATAGGATCTCTGATTGGATGTATAACAAGCCTCATATCCTTTATTGTTTCGGATATTGTTGTTCTTTTGTTAGTCTCTAAATTATTTATTTTCAATGTCACCGAACTCGACATGTAAGTACTTCTGTTGATTTGTAATAATATTTACCATGACCTTGATTTCCAACTTGAGTGTTAAGCACACATAGCTGTAGTTCAGATGAAAATGTAAGGAGATACTGGATTGGCTGAAATCATTTAATGGGTGCATGACAATTATAATTATAAAAGCCTTGCTTTTGTTGACTATCTTCCTGGATCTTTCTGGCAAGCTCGGAAAAACAACCTTGAATTATGTTTTCCAAGCTTGCTGGAAAGGCCCAAGAAGATGCGATTGCTACAAAACAGTATCACACTGGAATATTATAAACTAGATGCTCCATTGGTTCTACTGATCTGTTAAATTATTGTATTTTTCACCTCAAATTGAAATTACAGTAAACTACAGAATGCTTAAAGCAGTTATTGACTTATGCTATTGCTGACGTGAAGTCCACTCCATTCTGAATTGAGATCCCTAGTCCCCCAACACCACCCCCAGTGCACCACTGTGTCTTCCTATTTAATAATCGATTCAGCAATTAAACCAATGGTTGAGATATCTACTTCTGTGTTTTATGATGTCTACAGCACTAGCTCACCTATCTTTTTAAAAGATAAGCTTGTATCAATTGTATATCAGTTATATAGAACTTTCTCCTTGGGTTGTGCCAGCTCACTTTCAGATACGTCATAACAGAGTTGCATTTAGAGTGGTAGTTTTACAATTATTCAGGTACGTCCGTGAGATACATGTACATAGGCATTAGGGGTGAAACGATACTCCTCCTTCACGATACGATATGTATCGTAAACTTTTGTCATGATTCGGTTATTTTCAATACGATACATTTTGATTCATGGAAACAAATTTTACGTTGTTTAATTTTTTATTTTACTAATAACAGAACTTAACTGATGTGCAAATTGACTAGCATAAAGTGAGTTAGGTGACTTTAAGTGTAGTACACATTTTGACTAGACTAAATTGAATCTACAAAAGATTCAAGAGTTTTTTCTCCTTAAATTTGGCAAGTCAAAAAAATAAAAAGTAGGAACAAATTCTAAAAAACAACATTTGACAATACACTTTATGTGATCAATAATCCCTTCATCCTAACAAGTCATCTGGGATAATAATATTAGACATCTTGTTTAAAAAGCGTGTTTAATGTATGTCGATCCCAATTGATTTCCGATCCCAAACTAAAAATGAACTGAACCGAAAATGGAGATTTTGTACTGTGTATCAAACCAAGAAAAAATACTGCGATGAATCGATACTGCGGTGAACCGTTTCACTTCTAATAGGCATACATTCTGCTAGAGGATAATGTGTATTGGTAATTCAATAAACTAGTCTCATTTTTTAAAAATAAATTCATCTCAAGTTTTTATATGTTACAGGTAAATACTCAAGGTTGCAAAATTGTTGTCATTCCCTTTATGTCGATCAGAATGTATGTAAATGACAACAGGTTTTTTTTCTTGCAAAATGTTAAACCTTCGCTCTTTTTGTTTTTTCTGTACATGTATTTATTATTAATCCTTAACATTCTTTACTTGACAAAATTCACAAAGATTCGAGATTTTCCACTGCTGGAGACTGCCATGTTTTTTCTGATGTCATACATGTCTTTCCAGGCGTGTGAGGCCGCGGGTCTTACTGGTAAGATTAATTAATCCGTCACTGCAAATGGAAATAATTAGTCATCTTGATCATCTTATATACATTCTTATATACATGTAACTTGTTTTTTTTTAATATGGATTCCCTTTCTGTTTGTGTATTTTTAATTTAGTGGTATTCATATTTAAGCACTTTGCATGATGTCACTGCTGGATTATTTTCATGATCACTGAAAAAAATATAAATGTATGTTTTATATAAAATTATGATAAAATTTGACGGAAATAAGTGCTCATGCAGTACATGTATTTCTGTTTTAATTACTGGCTGAGCATGTTGTCAAACAGATGTTCATCAATAGTACTTTTTAAGATATTTTTTGAGAAGCTGCCTCTAGCTTCTCTTTTATCACAGTGACTGTTTATTGTTATTTGTAGGCATTGTAGCAGTGTTATTCTGTGGAATTACGCAAGCTCATTACACCTATAATAATCTCTCCATAGAGTCCAAACTCAGGACAAAACAGGTCTGTTTGGCTTTTATTTGGTACATCTATAAAAAATTTCAATGTGAAAGTCATAACTTACCAGAATATTAATGTCAAAATTTCAATTTTGCTGTTTCTTGTCTTTTTTTCAGCTGTTTGAATTAATGAATTTCCTGGCAGAAAATTTTGTATTTCTTTATATTGGAGTAGCAGTGTTCACATTTCACTCACAAGAGTGGAACATATTCTTTATTTTATCAGCCATTGTATCCTTTGTTCTATTGAAATCTTATTGGCATAATTTAATGATTTTGACATTTTATAAATTACATTGTACAACATCCACTTACTGCTCAACTTCAAGCGGACACATACTTTTTAAAGAACACTTTCCCCACACTTTCATCACAGATTTGTTTAGCCCCCGTACTTGCACTTTGTACAGGTAATACAAATTTGAATTATAATATTTAAGGACATACCCAACATACCTTACCTACTGATAATTTTTCAAGATATTCTTAATTTAAGATTATAGTGCCATCAGATGTTCGTAGACAAAAAATCAGCATGCATTACTGGGGGTTTTGAAAAGATATCAATTGATGAAAATTCTTGTATAATTCAAAGAAAAATATACAAAAATTACTAAACATATATTCTAGATGTTTTGTTTATCCAAACTTGTGTTAGAAAATGTGTACAACAGTATATATAGACATTAAAATGTAGCACACAGTTCCTTTAAATATTGGAACTCTTCAACTCCAGGGAAAAAGACAATAAAGTTCAAACTACGTTGTGTATGTCCTTATTAATAAGTATGCAGAAGTTGAGAACTAGTCATTTCAAATGTATCAAGAACAGCTATTTTATTCAAGATTAAGGGTGTATGGGCCTTGATCAGGTGAGTGATGTGGCTGATAGGCCTCTTGTTTTAAAACACTAAAACATGCATCTTACTTCTTTTAATTAAGTGTAGTTTTTTAGGATACTTAATATTTGTACCCTTGTTTGCAAGTGTTTTGTTAGTATGCTTGGTTTGTACCAGAGGATAACACTTTCATTGAACTGTTCATAATTTAGCAACCAAAAGGAAAGACAACTGTGATCCTTAACCTAACTCAGCTGGCCATTTTTATTGCTAGGTTTTTCAATATATATCCATTATCACTGTTACTAAATCTAGGAAGAAAAAACAAAATCAGCAGATCATTCATGCATATGATGATGTTTTCTGGTGAGTATCTTCTGAATTACTGCTAACACTGACAATACCATGACTTACATGCCTCTTCTTTTCATGGACGATTAATTTCTTTAACAGGATTAAGGGGTGCCATAGCATTTGCCCTTGCTATAAGAAACACATCTACAGAAGCTCGTAAATTGATGGTGTCTGCCACTATGATAATTGTCATTATTACAGTTATACTTGGTGGAGGTCTGACTACACCCATGTTAGGGTGGTTGCAGATCAGGTGAGGTTTATCATATTGTAATCAATTAACAGTGTTAGTCTTGAACAAGTAATATTAAAAGTTACTTGGGAAAGTACTTTTTTTTACTTCCCATAAGCCTGATAAGTCAAAAATATCATACATGAATATACTGCAGAAAAGTTTGATACTGTGGTTGTTATGTTGGGCCTCTTCCTACTTGACATAAACAAAAAACATTAAAAAAAAAAAAAAAAAGGAAACGCACCAGTTCAAAGAAATTTCTTGAAAATTCAGGGAAATTTGACAGATTCTGACCCATTTTACCGTATTTTGAAGTGAATTTTATGCCCTGTTCACACGGAGAGTTTAATTTGCAGTAAATTAATGCAAAGTAAAATAATGCGAATTAAAATAATGTGAATTAAATTGCGTTCACACGACAGCTAATGCGAAGTAAACTAATGCGAATTCAAATTTCATTTCTACAGTAAGGCTATTCAGTAAGGGTATTATGACGTCATTTTCAAATCACGTCACCTTATGCAGAGCAGATCCATATTTGACATAATATCATAGTGTCTTTACACATTTCAGTGATTAACGTAATTTTCCCTTTGTTTTCACTAAAAATATAGCATAAGTATCTATGTCTGACCACCGACATGTGGCATGTGACTTAATTTTGCCATTACGCATGCGTCAAAATTTAATTCGAATTAGCTTCGCTTAGCGTTCACACGGAGCTAATGCGAAGTAATTTAATGCGCAGTAAATTAATTCGAATTAAACTAATTCGCATTAAATTCCCCGTGTGAACACGGTTCAAATTTAATTCACAGTAACTTACGTTTAATTCGAATTAAACTCTCCGTGTGAACAGGGCATTATTCTTAAGATAACAATTTTTTTTTTTGAAAAAAAACGAAGCTTTCTCCACAAGTTGGACATCATTTCATTTTGGCAAAACTTCAAAAAAAAAAAAAGGGTACTCTTTTCACTCCAAGCCGAGTAATTTGTCTTGAAAAAATTACTTCTATTAAGAATTAATTTTTTCCCAAAGGCAATGATTGAATATGTTGTGACCCATTTGTAAAAATTAGTTCGATAATATTTTAAGAGGGGTAACTTGAGGCAATCCTAATTGATTACTCATTGAAGGAATTTTTTTATCACTACCTGTTTAAGTAACACCTGACTTAATTCTTTTGTTTCTGTAATTAATTTTCAAATCTTATGAACTGATCAATGTAAAGCCTTGACCAATATACGACAAGTCAAGATCATTATGATTTTTGAAGATATATTCAAATGCAGACACATAAAGCTTTATATACAGGGTTTCACATATGTTAAAATCCTATTTAATTGATATTTGGCTATTCCATTCTGTGTAGTTGATGTTTACATAGTACTAAACTTGAGTAATAATGTTATAACAAAGCCTTATGAACTTGTTATGTCATTCAGAATAAAAGATACATAATTCACAAATTATCATTGCAGAGTGGGTGTTGAAGATGAGAAGGAAATGACAAATTTTGCTGGACCTTCTGGGGTAAGCTACTGACTCCTCCCTCCCCCCCCCCCTTCTCTCACCTTATTGCTGATTTTCAATAGGACTATATTGAATCACTTTCGACGTTGATGCAGAAAGTAAATCATCTTTGAAACATTTTTCAACTGTTTTATAAGCAGTCATTTTTCATTTTAATACTGATGGAGTTTTACACTTACCATGCAGTCATTATTTTTTCATGCTTGTCAGTCGGAGAATGGAACAGTTAGTATATTATATAATGTAGACTAGGAATTTACTTGCATCTATGATCCCTGATCCCAGTGGGTTTTTCATCAAATTGTTTTGCACTCAGTTTCATTTTGATATCATTTTTTTCTATAAGCATGCAGGTTTATTAAAATACTTTTCTTATGTATAATTTTAATATTCAATTTGATTTATTCACATAAAACTTTTGTATTTAGCTGAAGAAAATTTCATCCATGTATAAGTTGGTATAGCCAATGAACAGTCATTACACTGTCATCTTCTTGCTTTTTAGCTTACCTGGGCCAGCCAGAGGTTCAAGTGAGCTTATCTGATCAAAGTATGTCCAGGGTATGAATGTAAACTTGCCAAAAGACCTCTGACATCCCCTTGAAAAAAGCATTTTTTTAAGTTTGATCAAATGAAAAACTGCATCTTTTAGAGAGCTAGATGATATAACAAAGAAATTGTGAAAATAGGGAAGTTTCATGTAAAACATGTATCTTAAGGAAAGCTCGTTCAATTAAAGACAAGAAGAATTATAAAAAGGTCTTTATTTTGTGCAGATAAAGTTTGTTCAAATTATGTCCTATGTAGTAAACTTTTCTCTATCTTTCTGTGTAAAAAAAAATAAAGTAATGAATAGTTAAATTAATGGGCAAGTATCTATAAGATATATAGATTAAGCTTTTTTTGAGACTGGACCTTAAATTTGGAATAGGGCCCCAGTAGGGGGTTCAAAGTTGTTCATGAAAATATGTCCAAGAACCAAAACTCCATCACCATAAGCGGAAAACATGCCACATTATTCTCCAAATTATTTATTGACTTTTTTTTGCATTTTGCGTTATTTAAGGGAGCCAACTGGGGTTTTATTGTGTGAAAACTACTATAGAGAAACTCTTTAATTTTATACCTTATGTACCTTACATTGACTTCAGTATATATGCCAAGTTTAGGGAACATCTACCGTCTGGTTATTTTTTAGGGACCATCTCAAAATACAGGTACATTTACTATAGGATTATATAGGAAAATACCATTTTTTCGCACTTCGGAGCAAATTATACAAATGCTACTATAGACTTTTTGCTCAAATTATATTATTTGATGGGTAATACTATATTGTACATTTGATGCAAGAAACACAAAATTCTACCGTCTGGTTTCCAGAGGGGGCATCTCAAAATGTCAAAAATCATGATATTTTCCTGTTTTTATGGAGTACAACAAAATATGACATACCACAGATTTACATCAAAAATACTAAAAATGATTGTGAGGTTCTCAATTTCCTATGTTTAAAATTTCAAGAGCATCTATTTTATACTTTTTATTCCATGACATAATTAATGACCCCGCTTTAAAAACTTTGGTTATTCATAACGTCAAAAACACGCTATTACGACGTCTATTTTCCCATCATTTGAAAAATCGTTTAAAAAATCAGTTATTTAAAATCGTAATTAGATTTTTTAACCTTACTTTTCCTAAATTTGTTAATTTTTATAAATTAAGTAAAAATAGTTGCTTTAAAAGAGTAAATATGCATTATTTTACCATGCTGCGCGAAGTATTGTGCAATGAAAACCCCAGTCGGCCCCCTTAACTTTCCAACATCACAACGTTTCTTACATCTATTAAGCACACCAGTTCTTAAAGGTGCTAAATTCATAATAAAGATTAAAGAAATTAACAATTAATAAGAGAGAAAATTAGAGAATGTAAATATAAGCATTGAAATCTTATTTTTGGATATCGTCAGTCCTATAACAGCACCTGTCTGTGCCGACAAATTATCATACTGGGCTAACATGTGGTATTCAATTTGTCAGCATGGACAGGTGCTGTTATAGGACCGACGACATCCAAAAATAAGAATTCAATGCTCAATTAAATAAGATAAGTGACAGCAGAAACATTTTTGTTAATATAACGTCTTTTATATAATTATGCAATTATATCATGGTAATGCTATTTCCAACATTTAGTGCATTACAGAAAATGTACATGAAAAACCAGATATTTTTAGCCTTATTCAATATGGTATGTCATGTGATACTTTTGACATTGACCTTCCTCAAAATGGCTGACAGATGCAAATGAGCAAGGTCATGCACATGTTGGAAGTATCAATGCACATTAAAGGAAAGTGTTAACTGATTTTACCAAATGTATGGTAGATGCAATAGATTATGTGCTTTTGTTAATTTTTTATGTATTCTTAAACGACTTCTTGTCATTGACTGTAGATTGCCAAAAATGAAGTCATAATTGCATTTGTTTACAAACAGCATGGAGTTTCCCAAAAGTGATGGAGTTAAGGGGTTATCCGGGTTAGACGATATTTCTAGGAAGGTTCTGTAAAAGCGCCCTTCTTTTGATGTACAAACATCTTATGCAAGTTTCTTCAGCACATATGTATTTTTGAAAGAGCAACAAGGTCATGGTATGCGAAATTAGTATGTTTATGGAATATGGATATTTGACCTTCAACTTGGTTCAATTAACTAGGAGAGGTTTTATTACATTTTCAATCAACAGAGATAGGGTAGTTCAACTCAGGTGAGCGTTGTGACATATGAGATATTTATTTAATAAATCCTCCTGGAATATTTCTTGTATCAGAAATATATCACGTACTTTATAAGGATTCAGTCCTATTGAGTTATCTCATCAGTAGCATGAGTTGATCTTCATTTTTTACTGGGCTCTAGAAAAAAAAATGGCAGAGGCAATACAGTACTATGGAGAACATGAAAGATGATGCTCAGCCTCCCATGGTGCGTTCTGCTTGTCACGACTTGCCGCATGTTGATATTTCTTCTGTTTTAGTTAGATTTCTCTTCTCTTTCTGTTTTTGGTGAATTTGATTTCAGTTTTAGATTCTCCCATTTCATAAAGTATAGTTTGCAAAATATAAAATAAAATCTAAGGTATGACACACACAGTTGTCTCTGACAATTTCATTAAGAAAATAGTGTAGGACTCTGAAGAATCTTTATATGGCTTATTTTTATATTTTTTAAGTTAAATATTCATAGTTTGTGTTAAAACACTATTGAAAGGAATCTTTTTAAAACACACACTTGAGTTAAAATAAATACATTACAAACTATATTACCCAAAAGTGAATGTTAATAAACAAGCAGGCATGACAAAAGTAACAGATTAGCTGGTACTTTTAGTTAAGATGGTTTAATATTCAGTTTGTGTACACACACACAGTGTCTGTATATTAAGAAAATTAATCATTTGGATTTATTAATAAAATTGCTACTTAATTATGTAGTTCTCAGCTTGTTGTATTTAAAGATTTTCATAATATATATATTAAGGAAGTCAATAGAATATGCAAAGGGAGGGTCAGTCTGTTCTATGAGTGTGTTGTGATCGACTCTCAAATTGCATTAATATACTGTTACAGTATATAACCAGATTTTAGAGACACCTTATTTTTCGCAAAATGGTCATTTGGTATTTATAAGTGAGACATTATTCAAATGAATTTTGGTTATTGTTCAATATAATCTTTAGTAATACAAATATATGTGAGAATTGAATTTTCGTGAGCAAGCAGTCTTGCTTAATTACCCGGAAAGTTCTCAGGAACAAAAAGTAATTTACAGTACCTGGTTATTGTTGAGATAGAATAAGAAAAACTGTGTGTGTTTTCTTCCTTCAGGGAAAGAACTTTATAAATAAGTATTATATGGAAATGAATTCAGAAAAATATGCCATTTACTGAAACCAAATTCAAAGTTTTATAATGTAGCATGTTTCTTAGAATAACCCAATATTCTGATTTGATGCATGCTTTTGTAATATTTTAGTCCTGGGAATATCCTGGTGTATTTACCATGATCCTGTATATTATAAGCCTTATGTGTGTTACTTGTACATTATTTATTGTGAGCTGATGTGGACCATTCCATAGTGCATTTCATACATCAGTTATCATGGTGAATTCAGTCTAAGTAAGGTAATACATATTGAATCATTAAGGAAGGGTGGATTTTGGAGAGCAAGCTAAAAATTCATAGGACTGATCACTGTTTGTTTGTTTTTTCACCTTTTTCATTGCTAAATTTTCTTTCTGTTATAAAATTAATTGTTACACCAAAAGAGAAACTAATTTATCTACTAGTATTTTAAATTGTTACACAAAAGTGAAACTATCTTATATCTAACTTTGTTACACAAAAAGAGAGACTAACTTATATATTTAATTTGTTACACAGGAAGAAAAAAAACTAACTTATTTTAAGCTCTGCTGGTCAGAGATCAGATGAGCTTATGCAATACTAAAGTGTCAGTTATCTGTCTGTCTAGCTGTCTGCTTGTCTAAACCATTTTTCAAAATGCTACTCTTCCTACAGTTTTGGTCTGATTTCAATATAACTTGGTACACAAGTAAACTAAACTAAGGTATATAATTCTCTTTATCGGTTTTTGATTTCTGAATCAATGAATGGTGTTGCCATGGTAACTAAAAATAGAAATTTCAGTGAAATTCTTTCAGAATGCTACTCCTCCTACACTTTTAGTCTTATTTCAATATAACTTGGACAAAAATAGACTATATTAAAATACATAATTCTCTTTATTAGTTTTTGACTTTGATGAAGGGTATTCCCATGGTTACCAAAGATAGAAATGTCTGTGAAATACTTTCAAAACACTACTACTGCTACAGTTTTGTCTGATTTCAATATAATTTGGCACACAAGTAAACTACACTGTGGTACATAATTCTATATATTGGTTTTTGATTTTGATGAAAGGTGTTGCCATGGTTACTGATGAAAGGTGTTGCCATGGTTACTAAAAATAGAAACTTCTGTAAAATCCTTTTAAAATGCTACTCCTCCTACAGTGTTGGTTGGATTTCAATATAATTTGGCACACAAAACTTTTCCTTTGTTATAAGTACAAACCAGTAGAGCTATAGTCTTATCAGATACTTCTGGGTTACTCTTTGCAAGGTATAGTAAAAAAAGCTTTTTTAAGTGCATAAGAAACAGAAGTTTATAATGAACATATGCCTGTTTCAGATGTATTGCGATCCTTTTTTTTTCATATCATATTGGTTTATTGTATCAGAAATCAATCTGGAATAAGCTTTTTACAGATTTGATTACTGTATACAAGAACTGCTGCTTAGGAAATCTTTCAATTATGTGATACCTTAGTATCGATGCGTACACGTATACATAGTTTTAGAGGTCACTTAATGGTACAGGCACTGGACTGTGTTCTATCTCATTGTGTGATCACGTCACGTTTTGTTTTCTAGCGGGAAGATAACAACTCACAACAAGCTTTACCTTTGTTGAAGGTATATCTGTATCATGTTTCTCAGTAGTAGTATACCCTCATAGTTTTTTTTTGTGTTCTTTATTAATTGACTTACATGGACATTATTTACACATGCATCTAAACAGGGTTTTTTTTTTCCTCACTTGGATGAAATTTGAGTTGTCATTGACTTTTGTTCCATTTGATTTGTTGCTTGGACTTCTCTATATAGCCATTTGTCACTTAGTTTTGTTTGTCATTATTTTTTGTTTGATGGTCATTACATTCTTTTTAACCATTTTCAGTTAACTCCATGTATAATAACCTGCAATGCTGCATTATTCATTCCTAGATATTTATAGGATTAATTTTTACATCCGCATACATTCCCTGACTGTCTTTTTCTTTCTTACGGTGTCATATTTATGGAAATTATGAATTATTATCATGAACGAATTCAACACACAGGAATCGGTTTTAAACTATGGAATGGTTAACATCATTTATCAGAAGTGCTTTTATATATCTACATGTATACAGTATTACATGAACTCTTTCTTACTTTTCATTTTTCAATTCTTCTTCATCTTTCATCTGATGCAACATTAAAAATCTAGTTTATAGCAATTAAAAAAAAAAATCTGAATTTATTCTGTGTGTTACTGTATATGCAAATTAATGATTTATCATTTTTGTCATTTTCCCTTTTTATATTTCTATTTGGGTTAAAGAATTAATATTATAAAAGAATTATGAGGGGCAATTTGAAAAGTTCTGAATATTATGATATAATGATGAATAATAATACTATGAATAATATGGAGTGATTTTGTGACATATATAATGCATACTCGTCTTGCGTGTTCAGTTTACTTATTTTAAAAATTATGTGAAAGAGCAAAATTTCATCAAAATAAAGGTTTAAAGTCAATATTTTGGCCTTAACCTAGAAGGGCCCTAATGGACAAATACTAGTTTGGATAAAAGTTACTAAGACTATGTACTCTAGCTGTTATATGCAGTCATAGGTCACTTTAAAAAGAGTATGATTTATCTAGAATAAGTATGATGGAGTGCCATAAAATCATCCATGATGTCAACTTACTCATATTAGCAATATGGAATTACCGATTAACCAAAATAATGTTAGAGTCCCAATTTAGATCTATATTTATAAAAAACCCTAAATTAAACTCCAATACCAAATTCAAAGGCATTTTGTGGTCAAAAAGCCAGATTTCCGGTATTATGAACACAAGCGGGATGATGTCATCATTTTAAGAGTGAAATACATCATAACAAGCAATGGCCTCAGCTAAAAAGTAAGAAGTGATGTCATGTCTGTTTTCCTGATCTTTTTAATGATATCAAATGACATCAACTTCCATTAATTACTCAACAAATTCATCAGAACTTTTTAAATGGCCCATGTATACTAATCAAGATGAAGGCATTAACAATTATTTATTTATAGTCTGTATTATCTAGTGACATTTTTTTTTCTTTCAAATGATGTTTCTCAAATGCATGATGTGAATAAATTTTAAATAATATATTTTGACTCTCACTTCACCATGGGTTACAGACTTGGTAAAATATTGTACTAACACAGCCCCTGACTAATTTGGTTGCTTCTAGTTACAATATAGGCATGCTGGTTTTTACTCTCAATTACATGTAAGTAACATATACTTCTCTCCCTGCACAAGGAGTAAGTGACACTGCAAGAAAATATTTGGTGATGGCAACCCAACCCCCAACCCTTTTCCCTTTCGCTTGTTCCTTTCCATAGATACATCAGAGTAATTTAACACATATTTGTCATATAAAGTCCAAAAATGTCATAGTTAAAAGATTTAAGGTACATAATTCTTATTTAATTCATACAAAATTAGTAATGGTTCATAGGATTAACCTGCATTACAAGCTTTTACTGTTCCTGGACTACTGGTAAATTGTGAAGAAAAAAAAATTGCAATTGTCCATGCAGTTTCCTTAAATATACATGCATTCATTTCAATGAGCTTAAACTTTAAACCCAGCACATGAAATAGCTGCTTGTTTAAAATGTCACATGGAAATAATATTGAGGTACAAAAATATCTTTGCCAGACTCATAAATTTGTGATATATATAAACAGCTATATTTTGTCTGATCTTCAGGGCAGTGCTGATGAAACAGAAACTAAAAAGAAAGACAAGGCCTATCTTGTGGGAAAGTGGCATCATTTTGATGTCAGGTATTTTATTTGATTGAATGAATATAGAATCTCTTTACTCTTATATGAATGTAAAAATATGGAATTCAAGGATCACTGTTTGTTGTGAAAATGTGGAGTATTCAAAAGTAAATGTCTCAAAAAATATATGTATCCCTAAAACATATTCCTACATGTAATTATCTCTACATAAAAATGTACATCAGAGTTGATGACTCTGCAGTGACATTATTTTTATTTTCAGGATATTAAAACCATTCTTAACTCACAGCCGTCCAACACTGATGGAAACCTTACCTGCGTGTTGTATGCCACTTGCCAAATTATTAACTACTGAAGAACAAATGTTGGAGGTAAAATAACTACTGGTATATCGGTAATATGGAACATTTTTGTTTATAATTTAGAATGTTCTTATTTTGCTGTATGACCTTTATGTATGCTAGTGAAACAATCAAGCCTATATAACTTCCTCACTGATGCATCTTTACTAAATGTTTAAACTGTTTTTCTTGCAATATACATGTAGTACATGTACATGTATATTGAAAACAAAAGTTCTGAAATATGAGCACAGGCTGACATTATCATATTGGAGCATATTATCAGTACCCTTTTGTAGTAGAGTGATGCAGAGCAGTTTCAGAGACTGAGCTCAATCTATGAAATATTTTATTCATGATTAATAATGAGATAAATGGAAGAATGTGTCAACGAATGAAGCTCTCAACCATTCCCACACAGAACCAACAAAAATCTAAAAATAATGAGCTCTCAACCATTCCCACCTAGAACCAACAAAAAACCTATAAAAATCTAAAAATAACAACAAGATAAGGATTCGGAGTAAATATACCTGGTGGTTTGTAAAATATGTCATAGAGAGGGGTATCCCTGAAAAGTTTTTTTTTTCTTAGGGGAGGACACATATTGAGGAGGATTCTGATACGGACATGATAATTGACCACAGGGAGCTCTCTATTGGCGAGGAGAGCAGTAATAATGTCAGTGCCGTCACAACCCCCCAACCAGGCTTTCAGGAAGTGGAGATTCATAATCCAGCCAATCAGGTACCTAAAGAGAGATTTGAAATAATGCATAATAGATTAGTAATCCCAGATAAACTTAGAAATTCAGAATTGCTTATAGCTTTATGTAGACTTGATATTTGATGCAAAGACTTTTATTTGATTAGCTTGAACTGATTTCAAGTAGTCTATATGTAATGTTGTCTTTAACATTTGCATGTACATATTTTCATTCTATTTGCCTAAGTATATAAATGTACATGCATCAGTATGAAATATGTATGCCTTATGTCAATATGTGTTTGATGTTGATTTAGATGTAGCTCACAATTTATTCGAACTTCCCTAACCAATCATCCACTCTCAGTTATCAGTGTCCTTTTTTTTTTTCAAAGCATTGAACAATATGTAGATTTAACTTATAAGTATGATTACCAACATCAGGTGACATTTAAAACCACTGAGTACAGTATGTAAAAGCCAGTGATTAGTGATCTTTATAAAATTGGTCTTGACTGTAATAAATCCAACACTGAGAGCTGTTTGGTTTGCTTTGATAAATACACATGTACAATAAATCAATAAATACATAAATAAGTAACTGTAATGGTCACCATGATGAATAAAACACCATAATTATTGGATAACATATATAAATAGCTTAAACTTTAAAAAAATATCTTTGGGTTAATGATCACAGTTTTGAATTTTTTTTTTGGGAGGGGGGGGGGGTTTCTTTGTTACTTTTTGGGGTTTTTTTTTCTTACACTGATTGCAATATGTTTTGATAAAAACCTTCAAATACCTGCAGGTTCATGTACCTGCATACATCTTAACCTTCATATATACTAGATAGATACTACATATACTGATATTTCCAATTCTAATTTATCATTGTCTACGTGTATAGCTCAAAAACCCCAAATACATGCTATTAATATAAATCAATTAATCCTTTAAAACATTAACATGATGTACATATGTAATTCTCAATTCTTTCTCTGTATTATACATTTTTGGGTGTTACAATGAAACAATAAAAATTGAAATTTGAATAATACTTCTTGGAGCAGGATGATTTATAATAAATTGTGTTGTGTATTTCATATATCATAGGCAAGCCAGAACAACACTGTGTATGTCTTATTTTTCTATTTCATTATTTGCCTTTTTCATTATTTATCTTAGTTGAAATCTTTTTTTCTTTTTTTGGTTGGTGATTTCAGTTTTTATTATTATTTTTTCTTTGGAGGTGGGAACTGATATTTCTCCAATTGACCTTGATATTCAAACATCCTCTGTCTCAAGTGATGATCGACCTCTGACCCCATGACCTTGACCTAAATGCTTCCAACTTTCTTCTGAAAAGCTACAAAATAACTGCAAGTAAGAATCTAAGCATGAATGTCTACTTCAGTGAGCAAATAACTGATCATGCTGACTAACATTTATATCAGTCGTAATCCAAATTCTGTCTAGTCAGGTTGTATGGATGAGCTAATTCTTTCCCAGCTTTGCTAGAAATAAGTATACCTATTATCTTGTGTAAAATATTTAAATTTATAGACATAAAATTTATGGTTTGGGTGCAAGATAAAAATATTTATTCCTTAGTCTACTTCCAGAGAATATCATATATAGGTTTACTGGCAAAAAACATCACCAAGGCTTTGTCCTTCTTCTATAGTTAGTTACAGAGCAGTTTAGTCATTTCGTATCAAAGTTCAAGGAATTTTTTATTTCTCTGCATAATGATAACTTAATAAGTATTGCTTAGCCTTATTTCTCATGTAGCCTAATGACTTTGATGACTTGAAGGATAATGTAAAAATGAAATCTTGTTTTCATTTTAAAATGAAAGCTGCTTTTCCATTTAAATGACATTGAAAGCTTTTCAGGACTTACATATACTTATTTATAATTTTCCCCCAGCTTTCATTTGTATCAATCTTGTATTTAACAGATTTTTATGTTTTCAGAAGCCAGTTTTTGTAATTTTTTGTTCATTTGTTTTCTCCTGTCATTTTATTAAAACACTTTTTCTCCAATGAGCAGTCTTTATGAAAACACACTTGCCAAAGGCCATGTGGATACCAAAATTTTATGTTGATTTCTGAAACACACGTAAGTGGTAGCTTATAGCCAGCAGGCTAGTGAAAAATGCTGGTTAATTAAGTGTTTGACTTCCTAAAAGATTATACAGGTATTTCCAAGCTTCACAATGATCACATTTATCTTTGACTTCCATAGAAACTTGAATGCTTTAATGAATTGAAGGCAAAGGGCTTAAAAACAAATGACAGGTATGAGGTAGATTACAATGTGGAAAGAAAGTAAGAATTGTAGAAAAGGAATACAGTTGTATAAGAAAAGCTGGAAAGGCATTTTTTTTTTCAATTTCTAAGCTTTTAAGTAAAAATTTTAAATCCACCAGCCATGTTGGCTAGAATTAAATGTTTTCAACAAGACTGCATAAGTGTATCCAAGTTTCTACCACAAGTTTTTTTTTTGTTTTTTTTTTTTCCCCAGGAATTAAGTTTAAAAAAGTGTCCAATGAAGGTGTTTCAAGATAGAAACCCAAAATAACTTTAATATTCATTTGCTCTAGCTTCATGTCTGTCAAAGTTTTGTATATTTTAGTACATGGTATTAGATTTTACTTTAAATTTGTGAAGGGAAAAGTGTTGGATTGATTTTACAGGTTTCTAAAAACAGGGGTATACAGATTGATTTATAAATGAATTAAAGAGTCAAGAAGTTTTTTTTTTTCATAGTTTTGCTGCTAAATACTTGTATATACCTGTTCAAAAATTTTATTTTTTGACACTGGTGATAAATTTTGTGCAAAAATCTGTAAAAATCAGACACCATAATCATAGTTTACAGTTATAGTTTAAACACTAATTTACTAATTTGAGATTATGTTTTATATTACTAACAATATGATTTGTATGTTTGCATGTGACATTTTACGTATTTATTTGGCTTATTTTCAGTTAGAAGAGAGAGCCTAACAAAAAGGTACTAAATTCAATCTGTTCTTTAATGCTTCACCATTTCTAGCGGTACATACTGACCCTCAAACAATTAGCAACAACAGAAAAAATCAAACTGTTGTCTATTTTGTCTGCCTCAGACAGACATTCTAGTAGTTCTCACGAAATCAACACAAAACCATCTCCTTTGTATGTTACTGTTTGGTGTTGTGAAGATCACGCTTTACATGAATTTCATACACACATATAATCAGATTCTTCAATAGCTTATGATGCTGTGCTTCATTCTTTCAAAGTTACAATAATAAATTGTTTTACAAAGTTGAAGATAAGAAAATGTTCAACATTTTTTTATGCCAAGGGACCATGATAAGCATCACCAACCTTGATGGTAAATAGAGCAAATTATACAGATATTATTTGTAATCACAAATTAATGCTCCACATGTTATTTATGTTTACAAAGTCATATAGTGAATTTGTAGGGGATATTACATGTCAAGTCTAATGTCTGATGAGGTTGAAATTACTTGGTTGGAAGGCTTTGACCATAAAACCCCGCAAGCATGTAGCCAATTGACCTATTATTGTCATTTAGTAGTTAGTAGAACAAATAGAAGAATATGCTCCATTGATGACCAGTGCATTAGATTTCGTAAAGTTTATCAAATTTTTAACTCCGAAAAAGTCCCAAATTATTGTGACAAATTTTCAAATATATTTGAAATGCTCTGAAAGATGACATGATTGTATCAACAAGTGAAGAATTTTATAAGATACAAGTCATCTCTATAATATATTGAGCATTCATAATTGATAATTATAACTTGTAAGAGGTGGGCTAAAAGTTTCATATTCTCATCATTATTTTGATTTTTTGTTATTTTTCATTTTTACTGTGTTAATTAATTCCTTTGTTAATCATGCAAACTGATAATTATTGATCATTTTAATTTTTCACCAATATTTGTGCTTGCACGATGTAGACTGAGGCAATATGCTTATTTATCTTTAACACTGGTATTAATTAATATAGACTCAGAGATGATCTTACTATTTTTGTTTTGATGTTGAAATGTGATGTCTTTTTCCCCCTTACAGAATCAAGGACACAACTGTGAGATAGGAGATGCCATTAAACCAAAAAACATTTGTGTCAATATACCAGGGCCCTCTGGAGACAGAGTGTGATTAAATCACAGGGAAAGACAACTCCTCTGATAGCATATTGCTGGGGATTATTTTAATTCATTAACATTTATTTGTTATGGTATTTGCATCGTTACAGAGATAACTTCGAAAATTCATGTTTGTTTTATATAAAGCTCTTCAAATAAGGCTTATTCAAATTGGTTGACAACTGATCAATCATTGCCAGTTTAACAGAATGAGGGAGAAATGTATTTTTTGTTTTTATTCTCGGAGGAATGTGTTGTAGCTTCATGATGTGTGATTGATTGCCTTATCATCAAAGTTTTTATTGATCATATGATTCAACAAGGGATGAAGAAACACAAATGTCATGTTTGATTAAGTTGTGAAATGTCCATTCCATTGTAAATAATATTTTGTGCACTGCCAGGATGTTCATTCAGCTAAAAAAAATAAGAGGTTAATGAGATCATAGCTATTCCAGACTAGATGACATAAAGCTATTCCATATTAGTTAATATTATAGCTACATGTATCCCAGATCTTGTGATATTTTATCCTTTACTTACCACTATGTCATCATAGCAGTCCAATATCAGATTCTAAATATAGATATCTCCTGGTGATACCATAACTATTCCAAACCTTGTGACATCATAGCTATTCCCTATCTTGTGACATTGCTATTCCATATCCTGTAGCATTCTAATAACTATCCGAAATCATGTGGCATCATGGCTCTTCATTACCCCATCGTAGCTATTCCCTACCTCATGACATCATAGCTGTTCCCTTTCATGTGATGATAGCTATCCCATATCCTGTAGAATCCTAATAGCTATCCCAAATTTCAGCATCATGGCTGTTCAGTACCCCATGATGTAACAGTTATCCCACGTTAAAGTGATATCATAGCTATTAAATGCTATTATGATACCTGTTTTTAGGTGACACCCTAAACATCACCAACTGACAGTAAAGCTACAATGTATCCACATGTTTGTGAAAACACAACCCTTCCATACCTCTCTCACATTTAAGCTTTACATACATATCCTCTGTGATGTACATTAGTGACATTGTGCTATTCCATGCCTTTATGACATCATAGCTGTCCCTTACTTCATTACTCCCTTATGAATCATACTTAGTAACATTATGATACCCCATATCAAAGACAGCCTATTGTGAAACCATTGCTTTTCAGATTTCTATGGTGTTATAGATATGCAGTACCAATCCCCTGTGATTCATTTTTGATCGATGTAGATTACCATAAGCATGAAGTATATTTCCTTTATTGTATTGCATGTTGTATGGAGAAAGAATGCAAGGTATAAATAGAAGATACCTCACTATTGTACATTGTGTCCCATTTAATCACAAACTTCAAACATTTAAAACATTTTAGAAGATTTTTGTTGACTTTGAAGTTGATGGAATTTTCCATCACTTTTCCTTCTTTCTTATTTGTGCAGGATTTATTATAAACATGAACTTAGGGCATCTAATAAGTAATGTTATAAATTTGTCAATATATTTAGTTTAAAACTCTGTGCATTTATATCAGCAATGTCTTTGGCAATTTAATGTTAGGTAAGGCAAAATGGTAGGCATTGGTATAGAGCAATTCAGAAATGTTGTTCTAAACTTGCTTTCAGTTTTACCAAGTCTTTGAAAATACCTGTGCATTTGAACATTGTTTTGAATGAACAATGTTTTGAATCCTAACCCTTAATAATGTAGAAAAGGATAGTCTTAAATAAACTACTGGAAAGAGAGTATCTTCTGATTGCACAGGTTTTAAACAATGGTTGATTGTATCGTATAGTATTTATCTGCGTGCTCAACTAGACTGACAATTTGTATTGTAACAAAATGACCTGGTAGCAAAGGCCAAACTTAGTGTTACATGTTTGAAATTCTGAGTCTCATGTGCAAAGTGTTTGTTATATAAATGGATTTCATTTGAAATATCTTTTTTGTAATATTTATTTATTGTGAAGTATTTTACATTGTTGCAAATTTTCTCCTTATATGTTTCTCTCTGTAAATTCAGAATATATATTGCATAATTACCCCTATCATTGAAGACTAAGGTTCTGGGGGGAAAGATATCCCCTTCGTTTGTTTTTGTTATTTGTTTTTAGCTTGCTTGATCTGTTTGTATGAATGCTTCTATTCTGTTTATTTCTATAGTCTAGTGTACATGTATATTCTATCTCCACCTTAAGAAAATAAGATATTAGCATAATTTCCTTGCACTGAGTTAAAATATTTAAAATCATGTTTATTAATATACCACACTTGTTTTTCCTCTTTATTTAAAACCCTGAATTTTTATTTCTAATCATAAAAACAAAATCAAATGTTTAAAAAATGATTTTATCCTCATTTTTGTTTGCTACTCATGGATTTTTTATACAAAGTACCATTTTTCTTTCTTCTTTTTATCCTTAATAGGAAAAAAATATACTGTTATATATTTTGGTATTTTCAAGTAAAATGGACACAAAATACCATCAGATATTGTTAATTGATGAATGTGTATTGCTGGGACATACAAAATTGATGTATCCCTTGAATTTAAAAATCAAAATTGAGGACAAAAGCGGGTTGGATTCCGATAGTATTTGATTGTAGAAATGTGAAAGGCTTTTCACAAAGTGTTCATAAAACAGGCTTTAAACTGAGTATTGAATACTTCAAATCGAAATAGATGTTTCAAATGAGAAAGCTGCAATATATATCTTTATTTTAAATGAATAGGACTCAAACTTTAGAAATCAGAACATATTCGCAGGCCCATAGGAATCACTTTCAGTTGGGGAGGGGGGGGGGAGCAATATCAAACAAATTCCTTGACAATGGGAAAAAAAATCGGGTGTAATTATTGATTGGCCACATCCTTACAGTAAGTGTATTCTATATCATACATATAAAAAAATTATTTGAGGGGCAAACCCCCTTATTTTGTTTGCCCTGCCTAGTAAAAATCTATTAGTAATGTAGTGCCAAATACTACAACAAATATTGGATTGTTCAACCATGCCTTTTCATTGCCAAAAATTTTGTTTTCTGGGCTGTATTAAAGCATTGCAAAAAGTTGAACCTTTCTTTGTACAATTAATAGCTCGGAGTACTTAAGTAATGATATTTTTTCTTAAATCATAGTGGTTCACTGTATTATATGCAAATATTTGTAAAAAAAAATACATTATTTGTGTCAACAAGTGCTTTATACATGTAGCTAATATTAGCTCACTTGAACTATCGTGTCAGTGAGGTTTTCTGATCCTATTTTGTCATTCATTGAATGTCCTCTGGAAAACTGGCAAATAAGACAGATCAGAAAATTATAATATAGATGTAGATGGGTACTTGACCAGTATTAACCTACATTAACTTAAACCAAATCATTCTCAGATATGAGGATGCACCCTTTATATCATCTTTAATGAATTCTATTTTTTTTTTCTCAACAAAACAATATAACTGGAAAGAAAATAAATGGTAAAAAAAAATGACACAGAAGTATAAATACTTAAAAATCTTCGACCTGAAGTTGAGATTGTCTCTGCATGCAGTAACAAATTTATTGTCGAAACCGTGTATTTTTTTCTGATGGTACAATATGCTGACTAGAAAGTAGTCGCATTCAAGTGTGTTCAAAATTTAATTCCGACTCGGGTTATATTAATAGTCAAAATTTTGTCAAGAGGCATATAATAATAATAATAAAATCAACAGTGCTATTAAATGGTCAAAGACTGGATCTACTTTTTCTTTAAATGACGTTTGTTTACAAGGGAGACTTGCTTGTTTTACTATTTCAGATGAAAATAAGTAAAATTTTTAAGCATAATTATCGTCTTAAATTATATAATGATGTTTTTTTTTAATGAAGATAGACCTTTCATTAAAAAAAATGCATTCTTTAAACTTTAGAAAGGATTTTTTTTAAATATTTATAAGCTTTATATATGTGTAATACATTATTGAATAGTTCCTACATACATGTATATTTATTGAAATAGTACTCAATATTTATTTGTAAACGTTTATTAATTACCTATTCATAAATACTTCATCTCCTTCTCATTGATTATTTTAGAGCTTACAAACTCATAAGCAATTGTTTGTTTACAAAACAATTTAAAGATTTATATAAAGGTCTCTGTCACTCTAAATTGTGGCAGCACTGAGTTGGATTTATGTTTATTGATGAAATATCAACGCATGTTAACTTCATTTACACATTTTGGTTCTATTTATGTGATATTTATAATTTGATTTGTTAATAAAATATAACCTGTATTTGTTTTCTTTTCATCAGAAATTGATCAATGCATCAAATTATTCAATTGCTGGGCTAAACAATGTCGAGGAATTATTGCTTGCAAAAGTAAATTTGATTGAAGATGGTTTTTTTTTAATTTCAATGAAGAATTTATTTAAAACTGCTACATGAGAAGAAGTAATTCTTGCTGTGGTTTTCAACTTGACATTTTAGATAATTATACTGAGTGACGACGTTTTATCAATTAACAAAAGTTAGGTTGTCGGCTCGATATATATATATCCAAGTGAACTCGAAATTAAAAACATCACAGAGTCTGCCACATCTGTTTTATTTTTGGATATTTTACGGACTATAGACGATAAAGGCCAACTAACAATAAAACTATGACGAACAAGATGACTTCAATTTTTTCATCATCAACTTTCCTTATTATGTAGTAATATTCCACTATCACCTGCATAGGTGTTTATGTCTCCCAACTTATTTAATACGCAAGAGCATGCTTTGAGTACGAACAATTTTTGAACCCAGACAGGCTAAAAATTAAGTTGATGTTACAGGGATTTCAACAACCTTGTTTAAAGTCAGCATTTTGAAAATTCTATAGTTATATTGACCTTGATTGCATGAAAAAGGTGAAGATAACGAACAGTGATCTATCTAAAAAAATCTTCAAACAATACAAATCTGTGAACAGGGCATAAAACACGGACCCTCGGAAATTTCAGAGGTGAGATCAGAGTAAGCATCCCAGTTGACCGGTCACACCTACCGTGACCCCTATGTATTAATCACGGAACATTCCGTAGTCAAATTTATTATAAAAACAAAGGCCTAACAATTGGTATGAAACACGTCAGCCAAAATACGACCGAATTATAGGTTATATTTGTTAACAAGGTCATTATAACGACCATAGAATTTACGAAATGCTGTCTTTAGTCAAGGTGGTTGAAATCCCTGTAACATCAACTTATCTGTCAGTAACCTACCTTGATTCAA